TCAGTGTTACTAAATTATTGCAAAGAAGAAAACAAGGGTATCGGGTATAGGTTGGCTACATTTGAGAACTAGATACTAATAAATTATTATTTACTTCTATCTTTTTAATTACTTCCAAAAATATTTCAACTACTTGTTAAGTAACTTCCCCGTACACGTGGAATGGGAATTGTATGTGTCGGTGATGGATTATAGGGTACTCTATGAAATCTGAAACTAAAAAAATAAAAAGTTTGAACCGGGGCTTGAGCAAATAAAGGATATATTTGCTTTTACCATTCCAAGGAAGAAAAAAGAAAAAGAAAAAAAACCTTTCGATCTTGGAGAAGGTTTGGACTTCAGAATACAGACCCATACAACTAAGCTAGGTGGTATACATTTTTTAGTTGGGCTTCTAAAATATAAATAAAACAAGCCCAATGACACTTACGTCTAAGTTCACAAAAATATTTATACGTTATAACATTTTTTGCTTTATTATAAAAAGATACAATGAAAAAATTAGTCAAGTATAGTGTAAGAATATTTTTTAAACAATTATGGATTGCGAGTATGTGATAATACTTTTGAGACAATTGGGTTATTTTCTTATTTTAAAAAAGAAAGAAAAAAAAGGTGACTTGTGAGAGAATTTTTTTTTAAGTGCAGATAAAAAGATAATGGACTTTTTTGTGCAAAAATATATTATTATCATTTTTTTTTTTAATTTAAAATCACTGTAAGTGTCATAGTTCAACAACGTGTTCTCTTTAGGGCCCAAGACGAGTAAATTGATAAAAGCCCAAGGTTGGATTGGGTCAGGAAATGAGGGCGAACAGATGTGTTGATGTTTTCCAAATCAACCCCATACTTTGCCATACCTTTTCGGGTATTGTCGTTGCTTAGTTGATAGGGGTCCAACTCCCCCGAACAGGTATGACCATGTCATACTCTCTCTTTTTCCTTAAAATTAATTATATATCATCATTTTTATTATCCATGAAAAAACATGTTAGATTTTTAATTTTCCATGATAATTTTCTATATTACGAGTACTAAATCTTTAGTGGAGTCCAGCAAATCTGGTAATGCCTCTGCCGTGATACATAAAAACAACCTCCATTATTTGGGGTGACAGAATCATGATTAATCATTTTCTTTTTCCTCAAATTTCAAAAGGGGTACAGTGAGGTGGTTTAATTAAATGCATTTAAATTGTACTAATTCCATTGCCATATCTTCCTGATCATCATATATGTTAAATGTTGTTTTGGCAACAGCATGCAAGTTAATTGATGTCCGTGACCAATGTCGGAAGAAAACTGATTATTTAACCCAGCACTTCAATCAAAATGTTCGCCCAAATAATTCTTAGTCATAAGATGCAACATAGGGAGACTTGTGTGAGTGGCTTTACGTTGCATTTCAAGATTGCCATGTGACAAGTTCAGCATTCGGTTGAAATTCTAGACCTATAGATGTAATACAGCATAAATTAGAAAGTATGCATGTTTTTACGGAGACGACATACTCATATTGAATATATGTCAGATATCGATACTACTCGAATACGTGCTAAATTTTTTTAAATGTATTCATAATTTTAAACTATATATTTAATTTTTAACACGTATCCGATACTTTTTAGATATTTCGAGGGTACATTCAATATTTCTCAATTATTTTAAAATATATTTTTAACAAGTTTTGAACATTAGCATGTAACTCTTTCAACAATAATAACATAGTATTAGTGTTAAGAAAAACTCAAATTTTATTAAATAATGACTAGAAATACTTGTTTTATGTATTGCGAATCGAACTCTTATATTATATTAATGATTACATTTAAATTTATAATATTACAGAAATTGATGAATAATCAACATATTTTTTATATATAAAAACGTATTTATTTTTTATCGTAACTTGATATATAGTTGGTACTTACACACACACATGCGTTAGACCACTGGTCTGTTGGTTCGTAACTTGATATATTCATATCTTAATTTTTAAATTTATCGTATTATCATGTTGGTATCGTATTTACATCCATAACAAGGGGTGGCGCCAGCTCCCTGACCTGGCCCCGCTTACTATAATATATATACTAAACTAATGTATTTTTTTATGTATATGCAAACAAATTCATATAATGCCCTCATAAAATTTTTATTTTCTAAAATTATCTCTTATATTTTGTATTTCTTCTCTTTGTTACTCTTTAAATTCGTTTTATTTCCTTAAAAAAAAGTCAAATTTTTGTTTTTGAATCAAAGTCTAATTTTTTTGCCTTTCAAAATTCTCTTACTTTTCTTTCATTTTTAAAATTTTTGATAACTATTTATCTTTCTCGTTGATTGACATATTATTTGGAATAATTTTTTTTATTTTATTTTTTATCTTTTAATTTGAAGAATCTATATTTATTATCATACTTATTTGATTTTTTTTTTTTATACATTGTGCCCCACTTGAATTTAATTTTTGACTTCCCCGTCCATAACAAGAATAACTCGTGTTAAATCATAATATATAGCAGAGCCATATAATGCCGATATAAGCTTGATCATTCTCTGTTTGATATGACCTCTATATTGAAACTATATAATGTGGTTGGTCCCAAACTTAAATTGATCATATGAAATTTTAAATTAAAGAAAATATACTTATATATTAAAATTATAGCACTTGTATGGTTCACGTTTTAAGAACAGAGAAAAGGGAGTAGACGGGTAGGTCATGGTTTAAGACAAGCACAAGACATTCCAATCATACATGTACGAGAGGAATCATTAGAGTATCCTAAAAAGTCATAAAGATTAATAAAGTGGTTGTTTACAAAATTGAATATAAATTATAAAACTATATTTTTTGTTAATTTATTAATATATTTATTTAGTTAATTTAATTGGTCTTTTGTCTTATTTAGTATCGTAATGCCCGCATTTTAAGGGATATTTTAGCCCCTATTAAGTAAGACCCTTGCTTTCTCATAAAATGACCAATAGACCATTGAAGTGTCACAACTCTATATTTTTATTTTTTATATTTATTTAAGCTAATTTTTGGTACACACATACAAAATGTCCACTGTGTAACTCCAACCTCTCTCCTCTCACTTGAACAATAATAGATCATACCAACTACATTATTCGATGATATCTCTTACTTCATTGATATTTATGTTAGATAGGTTCGTTTATGGCTATGTCTTGCACTCATTTTTAAAATGTTTTTATTTAGAAAATTACATTTAGATGTGTTTGGTAACTATTATAAGTATTTTTAATGATTATTAAATTCAGTTGAGTAAGCCAGTAAGGTATTAGAAATAAATTTTATAAAACTTAAAAGGTTGGATATTTTAGGTAACTTATTTTTTATTAGACAATTTTGTATATTTTATTTTTATAACCACAATTATATTCATTCCTTAATAAAGTAGTTATTATCAAATATGGTAACATCATATTAAAGAATATTATTGTAAAATGAGTAATAAAAGTTTGGGAAATGATTCTTGAATGGAATAGTTGAATGAATTGTTAGACTTACTCTTTTAAGGAAAATGATACTTGTATCGAATAATTGTAGTGAATTGCTAGACTTACTCTTTTAAGTAGTCAATTATGTAACAAATAAGAAAGTGGAGTCATCCACTTAGTTGTATTTAATATAAATAGCTAATTAAAAATTATTCGGTTAGACAATTTACTGAAAGTGTTCAATGTATGTATCACTACTCAAAAAATATTTAAAAAAAATTATTACCAAATAAATTAAAAAATAATTTAATTGTGATTAGTTTTTATTATAATGTGTTACAACAAAAACTTTAACATTTTTTTTTATCGGTGGTAATTTTTGACAATTCTATTGATAAAAATATTTTTTTTATTGTAAGAGTAATTCTAAACGGGCTCTTAATAACAATCCAACCCAAAAAGATTTAAAAGAAAAGAAGAAAGGGAAGATATATAAAAAGCAATAAACCTCGTAATTTCCGTCACTGATGGCCCGTGAAGACCAGCAGTTTCTTCTTCGTCCTCTAACTTTGTTCTCGTGATGATTCTTCTGACACGATTCTCCTGTTCTCATGCACAACCAACGCTCTAATCTTAAGCCATTTGTCCAATTTCTGGTTAAATTTTAAATTTCTAACTTTACCCTTTATTGGACCCAAGTACCCTTATCAACACTAGATAATCACGCTCATTCATGTATTTTCACTTCAAAAATCATAATGACTTCCCATTTAAAAAATCAATTTAGATGAGGACATTCGAAAAAATTATTTTTTAAAGAATAATACTTAAGTTTTTATTAATGAAAATTTAGACCATACTTATTATTAATGTGAATCAATAATAAATAGACATGTCGTCTTTAATTACTAGAATTTAATTTGATGGGTAGATATCACTTACCAAATGAGAGATGATAATTTCACACTATTTCATTACCATTTATGATTTAATAATTAAAATAAAATGTGTCAATTTATTATTGGTTCACGTCAATGATGAGTAAGGTGTAGTTCCTCACCAGTGAACTTAAGTATTGTTATTTTTTTAAAAATGTGTGTGGAGAGCATGGATGCACCATTGATGTTAAATTTTAATTTGAAAAGCAAAAATTATTATATGGTCCATCTAAGTAAAAGGTTGAATAAACATTTATTTGGAAGTAAAATGATGATTGATAAAAAATTAATACGTTAACATTGGTGGTGAGTCATGAAGGGATTTGTGGTTCTGTGATATTTTTTCTCTACCTTCCAAAGTGAATAGTGAAAATACAAATTTTCAAAAGAACAAAATAGGTGTGTGACCGGTGTGTATAAATTTCTTGCCAATTAATATATATATATATATATATATATATATATATATGATATCTCAAAAAAGTATAGTAATTAATGACATCAAGCAAGGCTAGTTTGGTAAAATGAGCTATGCCAACCCCTTCTTTAGTAGTCGGTCCTTAATGGACCTCTGAGCTTTTTCACACCATAAACTAAACCCCTGTTTGAATCTCCTGTTTCAATATTGAACTCAGAAACAAAACCATGGCCGCTCATCACAGTAGTGATCCCAGAATGGTGATATATATACTATTTATATATCATCTCTCTCTTCTTTCTCTCTCTAACTGCGATTCCATCCACGACCTTCTCAGAAGCAAAGGCTTGCCTGCAGGACTCTTCCCAAACAACGTGAAGTCATACGATCTTGACCAAGATGGTCACCTCCAAGTCTACTTGGACCAGCCCTGTATGGCCAAATTCGAGACCAGAGTGTTCTTTGACAGTGTGGTCAGAGCCAATCTGAGTTATGGTGGACTCATTGGTGTTGAGGGTCTCTCTCAGGAAGAGCTGTTTCTGTGGTTACCAGTGAAGGACATCATAGTCTACGATCCGTCTTCAGGTCTCATATTGTTTGACATCGGTCTTGCCCATAAACAGCTCTCTCTTTCTCTCTTTGAAGACCCTCCCGTTTGTCATCCTCAAGGTATATATATATATATATCAATTCAATTTTAATTTTCCCAGCAACCAAACAAGGATTTTCTTTTCCTTTTGCTACATTTTCCCAGCAACCAAACATGGGGTTTGGGTTGGAAATATAACTACTAATGTTGATGTTGAATGAATGCAGGCGAATTATTGGAGAAGGAAGGAAGGAAGGAGTTGGGATTTGAAGTTGAGAGATAAAAGTTAAATCCTTTTTTCTAATAATATGACGTGTAATCATTTTAATTTGCGTTTGCTTTTATTCTTTTCTTTCTTGTTGAAAAGAAAATGTGGAATGAGGTTGATAGATGCTGCTAGGATTGTAAAAAAACAAAATGGAACTGGCGTAATTTTTGGAATGGATGAGAAATTTTGGCAATCTTTTAAGTACCATTCCCATTTACTGTGGTAATTAGAATGAACACCTATGCATGCCTTCACATAATTTAAGTAAAAAAGGATTTTACTGCATCTAATTACATCTTTGAGAAAATTAGGAAACAAAAAAATAGGACTGGTCATAGATTCTCGGGTCATGTGTTAAGTAAAGGGTATTCTGTAAAAAGGATTTTACTGCATCTAATTACGTCTTTGAGAAAATTAGGAAACATAAAAATAGGACTGGTGATAGATTCTCGGGTCATGTGTTAAGCAAAGGGTATTCTGTATTAGCTTCGTTGTGTTTTACATCCTCTTCATTTTGAGTAAAGATGCAAAACTGAATCTATATTTTGTGCACCTCTAATTTTCAGTGTGGAACAAGAAATCTGCATAGTTATAAATAAGATCATAATCTTAGGGTTTTTTATTTTTTATATATGTCACAACAGTCTATAACATGATAGTCCTTTATATAATTTTTTACCTCATTCTCCTGTGTTTGGCTATTTCTAAATTCGTCAAGTGGTAAAATTATTGGGTGTCGATGCTCTGCATGTTTGTATCTTGAAACAACAATTCCCAAGTTTGTAAGTAAGGGTATTGGCGGCGATGATTATATTAATAGTAGGATAAAAACAGAGCATTATTTGAATTCTAAATCAAAGACTATAGTATGTTTGGACTAAAAAAGTTTGGTTGTATAGGGTGATCCACTTGTATATATGTATGTCATTACCGGATATATAAATATATATGACATTATAGTATAGTAACTTTCTGAATAGCACCACAACTGGGTCCAGAGGTTTGTTATGTTTTTTTAACTTTTAGCAGACAAAGGTGTGTGAATCCATGTGTGCCATGACATGACATGACATTGCTCTACGACCTTCAGAGTTGGTTCCAAATAGTTCAGTTAGAGGATTGTGATTGAAGGATGGAGATTAGTACTAGTGTGTGTGGTTTAAGGTGAGGAATCCAGTTTTAGCTGCACAACTGTCCTAGGCTGTTACCTCTCTCTCTCTCCTTGGTTGATTTGCTAAAAGCTTGTTGGCAGTGTCCTTTGCATAACTTCCATATGATGCAATCCACATGTTTATATATCTTTACTGGAATGAATATAAAGAAGTTTTAAGAATTTATTAGAGGCTTTAGATGATTACTCAAAATTCAGTTGTTACAGGAAGCCCTTAGTAGAATTATCACGAATTTTTTTTTTTTTTTTTTTTTTAACAATTTGGGCAACTTCATGTCAGTACCACTGAGAAGAAGATGAGTAATTGTAAAATCCGAGAGTATATGTAGATCTCTTAATTTATAAGTTTATTAAGAGTAGGTAATGGAATCAGTAACACCAGGAGAAAGTATACAATATTTACAATGTGGTACTGGTATCCCCAACCAATGCATATTCACGTTCTTTCTTGAAAACAACTCGTTTCCAAATTGATAGAGTTGTCTAGGTAATACTCTATTGTATACTTTCTCAAGAACCAGATACGTACTGTCAATACTCCTATGAAACTTTGATTGAAAAGGAGAGAAAGTATGTTTGTTCTCCATTAAAACGTTGATAAAGATGACCGGATCAATGTACAAATATGCAGTGGTATAACGTAAGTAAAGGAAATGTAAGCCAAGAAAACCAACAATGAACAAAGCTTGAGATAACAATAACTAACGTGTTTTATAATTTCTAATTAGTATGATCGATCATATTATAACCTCCCTCTAGTTGGAAACAGATATAGAAAAACAAAAGGAACTTCTAAATCTCAGGTATCAGAATCTTGCCTCCTTGTGACTCGAATGTAACATAAAATGGCAGCCACCATAGCTGTTGCAAATCCTGCAAGGATCACATCTCCACCAGCCGCGTCCTCGCCAGAAGAATGATGTCTTCCTATCCGTCTAACATCAGGTACCGGACTTGGAACAGGTGCATCCATCATTCTCAGCACCTCTGTCCCAGCACCGGTCGCAGTCATAGGTGGCCTTTGCCATAAAGATGGATGTCTCAGTTAGTATAACGCAAAAAAGAAGGAACTTGGCCATAAGAAATGTTGACTGGTGTTAGGAATAATTGTTGAATTCCGAGAATGAATGAATATGCATGGAGTGATATCAATATATAGGGGGTGGTTGGGTATGGGTCTCTTTTGGTCTTAATATTTTAAGAGTGATAGGTCAAGGATCAATGTTTTTGAACTTTGAAATGTTGAGATACAGTCAAGCCTAACGTGTTGGATTTGGGATCTCTTGGTGACAATCCTACGTGGGGAGGTTGTGTTTGGGAAATTTTCTTCTGGGGAGAGGCTATATCTCTCTTACCTGGATTCTCCTATAAAATTATGGCTGCCAATTTACCCCGCAGCCCCTTCGTTTAGACCGGTTTTAGGGAATGTTTAAGGAATTTGGACGGAGACGGGTTTTATGGGAAAAATCGCTCTGTTGCGGGGTGGGGTGGGTCCCGCCCCACTTAGGATTAGTGTGTACTTTTTTTCTTCTAAAAATTAAATTAATGTGTATGGTTGCTATGATTATATTTGTAGTTTGAATTTTATATTAAACTACACTTGATAATGCTTTCTATGTTGGTTGTATTGTTGTATATTTTTAAACGGATACAAAAATATAAACGGGGCAAAGACAGGGTGGCAAGACACCCTACGGGAGGCGGGTACTAGCCCTCGTCTCGCCCTGTTTAAACCGATTTTGGGGGCTGTTTATGTAATTTGAACGAGGATTGGTTTGAGGGGAGAAAACCCGCATGGGCTCGGGGTGGGGGCCGTGGAAGGGTGCCCCACCCTGTTTAGGTTGCTAATTATATCAATTTCTTGTATGTATATATGTAATACTATAATAATGGAATCTTAAATATTTTGTTTTCACTCTTCATCCTTTCTTGAAAGATTAGTTTCAGCTATGCATCAATTTGGGGTTCTATTATAGTGGAATAATTCAGGTGAGAGTGTATTGATCAAAATAAAAAATTAAAAAAGTAGGAGAAAATTTTAAGTGAGGGTTTAAACGGGGCGGGAAAACTTAAACGGGGATGGGGTGGGAGGATTCCCCATAATCGGTTTTGGGCGAGAATGGGGTACCCAAACCAGCCCCCGTTGCCATCCCTAATTCATAGAGGTCGGTCATGCACTTCTTCTTCTTCTTCTTCTTTCATTTTTTTATTTTTTGTAATCTTCCCATTATTTTCCCTCAAAAAATGAATTTAAAACATTTATTTGTTGTTCAAATTGCCAAATTTACAGAATACTTTTTCCACTTGACTGCGAGTCTACGACTTAACAAAACCCAACTATACACATTTGTAGGTGAAGCTCCAGTCAATTTTAATTTCAAGCACCTTATGTTATGTCATGACTTATGAGTGTTAATTGGGTTGGAGCAATTGACCACATTAATCACGTATACACTTTAGCTTAAAGAAGAATAGCAACACTGAGATCATTGAAGACTTGGAGAGTACTTCAATGATTAAAAATGTCAATAAGTGTTCATGAAGAAAAACCATGGTGTTCACTGTTTGATTGAGCTCCATTGTTCATTTTAGAGAATGTATCAGTCTATTTAGACTATGTATAGACATGTTTTCTTCTTGTTATGTTAGTCAGCATTCATGATTAAACTTTGAAATGTCATACGCATATATGGAAAAAAAACAAAAAAAAAAAAAACAGAGGACATCTGAAACAAAATATTGGTCTTTATAAGGATGGTTTGGGAGTTTGTTACAAATTCATAAAGCTCATCATTTCTGAAATTATGTAGAAGTATAAGTTAATGTAAAGGTTATCCGAGTTTTATAAGCATAATGGCATCTCTCCAAATATAATTAAATACTCCACATATGTGACAATATTCCTAGATATTAAAAGGAGAATAAATTAAAAAAACAAGTGCAACTTTCTTATAGAATTTGTGATGGATCCATATATGTATGATCAGTATCTCCGTATATGCTTCTAATGATATCTGGCAACAGCTCTCTGAGTTGGTCAACTTCATGCATTCTTCCATGCATTCCCTACAATCATATAATTATAACATATTGGTCAATTACTAAAAAAAAAAAAATTCTAATTTTAAAACAATTATTAAGTGTGTGTGTGTGTGTGTATATAATTACATTCTTATAATTGGATCAGAAGTTCAAGTCCAAGTACTCCTGCAAAGCTCTGGAAGTACTTCAATCAAATATAAGTTGATTGTTTAAACCATCATAAGGTGGTTCAAAGGACATTCTGTCATTTCTATAATGAATATTACTAAAAGGGTTATACCAAAAAAAGCTGGTATATAGTTTCAATTTTTACCTCTAAACAGGAAGTAACTAGGATTGCTCCCTTGGAGGTAGTAACACTGGTATCAATGAACTCGAAGCCAAGGACACTCATGGCGTTCATCAATTTAGTGAAGCCACCTCTTTTCTTTTGAAACACTATCTTCATCCATATCTTATTGTCATCAATATGAGTCACTGTAAATTCAGTCTGTAAATAGCAACACACAAGTTCATCAATTGTGATAATTTTAAAGACTTTGAAGTACCTTAGCAGTAAAATCTGTATGGATTAAAAACGTCACCTCTATCCCCCATTTCTTCATCTCTTCCGCGGCATCAATTTCTTCACTCTGTGTCTTTGACTCCTCTTCACAAATTGCCTCCATTTCGTGGATTTCGTCACTAAGATCTCTTACACACTTCTGCAGCTCCTGAATGTAACTGATTGCATCGATAATAATCGTTGCCTTATTCATCTAAAGCCCAAAAAAAATCAAAAACAAAAGTACTTATATTAGAAACTAACAAGCATGTTAATTATGAAGTTATGATATATATATATATATATATTGAAAAGGAATGTAATGGAAGAATTAATTGTAGGTTTTGAGTGATTGCATTTGTTATGATTGGGACTAATGCGCGCAGCTCTAAGAGTCTATCACTGAGTTTCTGGCGCCGCCTCCTCTCGGCTACTAGGTTCTTGGATTTGTATACTTCAGTTCCATCATTAATATGCCTGCTATCCATTTCTCTGAGGAAGAGGGGGCTACTACTAATTTGGTAATGAGAGTGCACTTGAGAAATGAAATTGTGTTTGATGGATCGTGGAGGTAATTTGGCTATATATAACTGCTCTTCACAAGGGTAACATTTCAGTGGGGGGAGAGAGAGAGAAAGGAATCTTCTTCTAGTTTGAAGGGTATTATTGTACAATTCTCATAATGATCACAGTTTTTTGGGGGGTTAGGAGACTCATTTCTAGCATGATACACCATTCACTTGTTACTAGTTGGACCAATTGTAACTGAATTATCAACGCAGGTCCAGTTCAGACCTCACAATATATATTATTAGTACAATTATGTATGTATGTATGTATGTATAATTATTCTACTTTTACTTTTTTTATGGGTTGTGAAGAGTACTAAAGTACATATGAGTGAGGAAAGCTGTTATGGTTAAAGTGCAATTTTGAATTTTATGCTATAAAGCATATAAAGCTGCTGAATTATAAGCCTGTATTTTTGTATCCAAATGCAAACGGGTGTTGAATATAAATTGAATAGTTTTTATTTATTTTTTTATTTTTTCATTAAGAATAATTTAAATAGATACAAATATGAACTATAAAAAGGCATACCCACTCCGTGTCAAAAATAATTGTACATTTTTTTAACGTTACAAAACAAGATTTTTTTTAATTTTACAATGTCTTTATATTTTAGATATATTTTCACATAATTTCTTAAATTTTTTAAAATTTCACCAATGAACATTAAGAATTCTCCTTTTTAATGGAAGATTGAGAGCTCGAGATGAAATAATATTGGAACAAGTATTACAAACTTAAAAAATTAAATTTTATTTTGCTTGCATCTCCAACAATTCAATTACTCCTTGGTTGATCCAAACAAAATTTCACCAATGAACATTAAGAATTCTCCTTTTTAATGGAAGATTGAGAGCTCGAGATGAAATAATATTGGAACAAGTATTACAAACTTAAAAAATTAAATTTTATTTTGCTTGCATCTCCAACAATTCAATTACTCCTTGGTTGATCCAAACAATCTCCGAGTGTGCACTGGAGGTACAATTGTTTTGCTCTTAATTAAACGAGTACACAGAGATCAAATGAACATTCTAAAGTCCATTGAAAAAGTACAATTGTTTTGCTCTTATTTCCAAAAAGGTCCTCCCCGCTCAAAACCCAAACTAAGAACCCAAAAACACTGAAAACCCCAAAACCCTACAACTGTTACAGAGCAGAGACCCCCACACCCCACTCATCACCAAAAAAAAAAACACACACACAACAACAACAACAATGTCTTCCTTCTCTCGCCTCCTTTACCGCTCCTTTTGCACTTCTCTCCCCCAACCCGCCGCCGCCGTCGCCGCCACCGCCACCAGTCTCAAGTCCCTCTTTACTGAACTCTACAAAGAACGCAACCTCACGAGACTTGTTGAAAAGTTCAAGAAATCTTCCGAGTCTGAACGGTTCCGCAACAAAACCGGCATTTACAAGTACACCATCAACCGCCTCGCCTCCGCCAAGCGCTTCCAATTGATCGAAGAAATCCTCGAAGATCAGAAGAAGTACAGTGACATTTCCGAAGAAGGATTCAATGTTCGCCTTATTTACCTTTACGGCATGTCCGGCATGTTCGATCATGCATCCAAGGTGTTCGACGAAATGCCGGACCACAAATGCGATCGCACCGTGATGTCTTTCAATGCCCTTCTTGAGGCTTGCATTAATTCGAAGAAATTTGATAAGATTCCTGGGGTTTTCCGTGAACTGCCAGAGAAATTGTTGATTAAGCCGGACGTGGTTTCGTATTGTACTGTGATTAAGGCCTTCTGCGAGATTGGTTCATTGGATTCTGCGATTTTGTTGGTTGATGAGATGGAGAAGAATGGATTAACCCCTGATTTGATCACATTCAATGCGTTACTCGAAGCTTCTTATGGGGAGAATCGTTTTGTGGATGGCGAGAAGATATGGGCTCGAATGGAAAAGAATAATGTTGTTCCTGATATAAAAAGTTATAATGCGAAGTTAGTTGGGTTGGTTACTGAGAATAAAATGTCAGAAGCAGTTGAGTTATTTGCAGAATTGAGGACTAAGGGATTCAAAACAGTTGAGTTACTTACAATGCTATAATTAGAGGCTATTGCATGGATGGGAGTACAGAGGAAGCCAAGAAGTGGTATAGAGAACTGGCCAGTAGTCATGATTGTGCAGCGGATAAGTTGACCGACTCATGCGATACTAGTTCCCTTTCTATGTGAGAATGGTGATTTTGATTATGCATTTGAGGTGTGCAAGACTATAATCGATAGTCGATGTCTTGTTGATGCGACATTGTTGCAGGATGTGGTAGATGGGTTGGTTAAACTGTAACAACCCAAAAAAAAAAATACCAAAAATAATAATAATAAAATATATAAAAAGAGAAAATCCCTTTACAACTTGTTGAAAAATATAAAAAAAAAATATAATGGCCTCACTGAACCTTAAAATTAATTTATCCTGTCCCAACGCACAATACAAATATTACATCACATTCTCAAAATGATTACATTTACAAAATATTAGAGTTCTAACACAAAAAAATAGCAAAATAAAATAGGTCTCTAATCTCGTCTAAACTTATGGTGGATCGTCGTCCGTCACTTCACTTCCATATCCTAAAAAATGTTAATAATAAAGGGGTGAGCATAAGCTCAGTAGGAAGTGTCTAAGACACACTTCTTATAACCCTGTGAATCCACATATAGAATAGAAAACAAAAGAACGGAAACATACAATACCGGGAATGTATACCATAACCACAACATCCAATATAAACACATATGCCATTCAAGTCACAACACACCATGTATGCTAATGAAGTGTAATGCCATACTCATGTCGCTCCCCATTTCCGAAACACTTCCGTTTCAACATCCAAACCGTTAGTATAATCAGACCCAAGGCACCTCCAAGGCGTCACGAGAGAGGGGTTGGCTAGTTTTTCTCCGACCACATGGCACCTCCATGGCGTCGTCTAGGTAGCTCAATTACATAAGAGTCTCTCTCTAATCCCCCTCTAGATCACACTAACACCACAGACCACTAGGCGCCTCCTAGGCGTTCGGGTTTTCCACAAACACTTTTAGAAAATATTTTTCCAAAATTTAATTTCCTTTGTTTTGAAAACACTTTTCCCATTTCTCTTCCTAATGAATGTAAGAATGCTCCATGTTTTAAATCATCAATTCAACAATAAAATTTTCACACATACTATCCAACATAATTTTTCCAAAACACATAACTCATGCTTTCAATCAACATCAATTTAACATGGTAAATATTTAAAACATAAATTTAACTTCACATAAGTATATATATAATCATTATACAACAAGTAATAAGTAGTCATGTGTTCCATAACCGACATTTAAACAAGTTTTGCAAGAGATTATACAAAGTGAGCATGCTTAACATCAATTAAATAAGAAAACTCACAAAAGCACAAGAATTTTATGTATTAGAATACCCCTACCTCAAATTGTAGAAAAACTCTCAAAATGGGTCTCAAAACTCAAAATCCTAGGATGCACCAAAGAAGAAATTGTTCATACCCACTTGCATATCTCGCAAAGCTCTTCGTTTTTCCTCAAACGGCATTATCAAATTCCCAATTGTGTGACTTTAATCTAAGCTTTTATGAAAGAAAACAAAAAAGAAAAAAATGGAGACCGAAGGGAAGAGAGAGATTCTGCGTAAGAGACATAGAGAGATGGAAGAACTGCCCACTTTTTCTCTCCATCTTACCAAAGCCCACGTGAAGAAATCAAGGGCAAAAGAAATTTTGCCAAATAAAAAAAAAAAATCTTGTGTCCCCGCCTATAGCATCACCATTTTCATTGTTTCCTTCTCTTTCTTATCTCTCCACTTCCGCTCCTTCTTATCACCATTTGATGCCAATATATGTGTGTATATATATATAATAAAACAAATCAAATCAATTATCATGGGACCCACCACTAATACATCATCACAACCACAATTTCCATTCTCCTTTCTCTCTTCGGCCAGGTGCATCTCCTTTGGCAAGATACAATATATATATATATATATATATACAAAAGAAATAATATCAAATCAAAATCCATCTTTATAATTCAAATGGGACCCGCAAATCACCATTTCTTTCTTTCTCTCAATTCTCGGCTAGAATCTCCCTTATTAAAAAAAAAACAAATAATATATATATATATATATATATATATATATATATATATAATGTAACATAACCAAATCCAATAAATTGAAACTTAAATCTTCAATTGGGTAAGTCTGCAATTAAATAATAAATCTCCCAAAAAAATGAAAAAAAACGAAAATAAGAAACATTACATTTTACATTCCTTAAAAGATTTCATCCGCGAAATCTACCCTTCAACATTAATGTTTTTGACACCGGACGTTACCAGGCATCACACACCACTGTCGCAAAAACACAATGCTCACCACCCTATGAGTGTACTCATTACTCACGACATCAGAACACGAGACTAATTAGGCCCTACACCCGACTCAAAACGGACATCGGTCTACTCTATACTGCTACACAAGACTCCGAAACTCGAAAGAAGAACGGTCATAAGACCCCTGAACATGACAATATCCTATCTCAACCCATTCTTTAAAAGACACAAAATCCCAGACAAAGAACCCTATCCATCACAAAAATCTAGCTCGAACTCAGATCTACACCTTTCAGTCATACCAGCACTTGCCATCCAACACACGATTATACCACTACATAATCATACAACGACCACCAACCACACCACTTAGCAATCATTACACTTAACAACCTCAAGATAGCTAAATAATGAATCTCCCAACAATTATACAATCATGAATCACCAGAATAATAAAACAAATTATCCTGTACCCAGGTCACAAATCCTCAAAACAAAATCTTCAATAATTAATGATCGAATCGCAAGCCCTATACCACACACTTGGTACTACCTAACACACTTCGTCACCCAAAACAAATCATCCGAATCCATACTATCACACTGATACAACGCGCAATACCGTGCTCTCATTATCCCTAACAAATTGAAATAATCATTAACCTTTGACCCGACATCGTGCTAAGAGGAACTAATTCAGGAGAAATGGTTGACCAGGCCATTCTCATCATCGATCTGGTCTCAACACAGATGTCGTTCTTGTCCTCAGGTCCAAACCTCACACACACTCTCACACAGTTCATAAGACAATCATGAGATTCACTCGCTATCAATCCATCATTCTACGTAACCATGACGGCTAAACAGTCACATACTTACTCTAAAAATCTCAATCATGCTTTAATCGTACAATCCAAACAAGCTAGTAATAACACAACACTAAATGTCACAATCATCAAGCAGCGTAAAAACTCTATAATGATCTCATAGCACTCATACCAGGTAGACGACTCTATAACATTACTCGATTCAATTCCTACCCCGTCCAAACACACAATGCGATTATCTCATGCCTGCAATCTCAAAACCAAGGTCAATCATTCCTATAGTTCTTCAATGGAATCCCATAATCACGCTTTAGCTGCAAAAACATGCAAATAATACCAATACTTGTCCTCAAGACACTGCTAGAATCAATCACCTCTAAAAGCATCTAAATACATGAGTCACATCACATCACCTAATTATCCTTAAGCTGCGATTCACGACACATTTCCTAGCCATCACCACTAGTACTAAACATCGGAAACACAACCCCTATTCAGTAACCCATGCCTCACATCTTACCAGTCAAAACCACTTTCAAAACAAACACTACAAAAACCGAAGACTTCACCTCCCTCCGTGGGAGTGAGTCGACCCATTTAATCAGGACCTCAATTGATGAACTCTAACGGCGTAACAAACCACTCACAAATTCGTCTGCCCACGGACGCATACAACTCCTAGATGGAGTACAAGTCTTGCGACAAACGACGTCCTAGCTAGGACTAGAACAATTGAAAAAGGTAACAAACCCTGCTCTCACAAGAGACTGACGACTCGTACCTAAATACACCCGACACCTTGTCACATACTACACTCCAACTGTCCAACTATGGACACCCAATCTCACCTGAGATGAACTAAACTTCTTACACACAAGGAGAAAAACCAAATAGGTACCCGTATGGAACTACGAACTAAATTCTAGGTGACCTCGCCACTAACGGACCATTATACACTATCAACATAGAAACCTCGTATACGATACCCCGCAATACCCATGCTAACCAAAACCAATCAGATCCCTACCACTCATTCATCGAGTACTAAGATACAACTCACAACACAATCATCAGACAAGAGCATCAATGTTCACAACATACCAACACTAGAAACAATCACAACCCATCGGACACTGCATCTCGTCACTCCCAAATGACAACCCCTATACCATAAAATGACACTTTACCACTCGTGCCATCACTACCTTCCCAAATGATACTGCCTCGATCACCGTGTACACTCCACTCGTGACCTCAGTCACAACAACCCACTGACTCGTCAAAAGAAAAAGGTGCCTATCTGGAAACATCATCCTCACTGGCTCTAAAGACTAAGCTGCTCGCCGTCACCTCGACCGATGTACAACCCCCATCACCTACCTGTAAACATACAACAAACAACTCAAAATCTCCAAACCACCCTCTGATCATACCCCAAACCATTCTGCTCATCAATACTAAACATCACGTCATAACACCTCTACTACCATCATCCCCAAATGACAACTCAAACCTCTCATCTCACCATATCACCAAGTCACCACCAAACAATTCAACCTATGACACCATCATAACAAAAAAATAAGCATTACTCTTGATACCTTCCACAACAACCACTATTTACCACTAAGAAAGATCCTCCATACGATAATGCCATGCTAACAAATCCTCAAAATAAAATGGGCACAATCTCAGAATGCTCAACACCCAACAGTCTCCTCAAAACTACCAACTATGCAATCAATCATTAATATTTAACCAACTACTTAAACCACTATTTCTAAGGCGATCTACTTGCCTAAATAAGAAAACTTAATACCTTAGGTTCAACACCATTACCTCCCCTCTTCGCTGTTCCTCAGAACACCCTTGGCCCCAACAAAGGTCAAATGGGGCTAACAACTAAACCCACAAAATCAACCTCGTCCCAATCATTCTAATGATCAGTCTACCTTTTTGAATCCTCAAAAACCAAGCACAATCTCCGGATACCTCTGACATAACATAAAATCCAACTCCAGTCCATAGCTTTCAAATCCTAGAACACAATCTATTTGGTAACACCGTGCTTACCATCAATCACTTCATCCGTAAACGACCGAGCACTTCAATGACCTCGTACAACCTGCCTTATAGTGTAATTCTACTCTACACAACTAAAACTAACCACTATACACTACCTCAAGGCTTTCTCGACAACCATGACAACCTATAACCCCACTCATCCACCAAACCATGTAATCGACTCACTGAGAGTTAATTACCCGTAACACGCTCCTACAACTATTTAAAATGAGAATCACTCCTTGACAACCCAGTCTCCAAAACAGACTCTTACAAGACACAAAATGCTCTACACCCTACAACTGATCTTATATCACCCTAGACCTACAAAATCCAACAAGTACCCACGATAATCAGAACCAATACGCCTCCTCAGACAGTACCAGAAGATACACATCTACATCCCATAAACTACATTCGTGATGCAAATAACTTCTGTCACACCTACCACGACCGGTTCGAAAAGAACCTCCACACCACTGAGACCCAAGTCACAAACACTAACTTTCAAAGGTCATACTTTTTTCCCTCGAATCCCTCACTCGCCCACTTGATCTCCATGGTCACAAGAACCCATCCACTGATGCATGAAACTCACACACAACAAAGGCACTATGCCATGAAATATGAACCCGTTTTAAAGTCGTGCCCTAAGCATCACACAAAATGTAACAATAAAATTAAGATGACTACACATTAAATAGCTTAATCCAAGGGCTAGAAATTCACGCCATTCGTTTGATTTCTAGAGCAACCGAGCTTCTCGTCTACTCAGGTCAAAACTCACACAACTATCCCATGCTCGATCACATATACACATAAGAATATAGGTATATACACAAGACATACTCATATATTTATATACACAATAACCGAAGCATAACCCTTGACACGACCGTGTCCTATCACATAAATTTTAAACAATAAGTCCATTAAATTATTATGTGAGATTAAACATCCCTTCCATCCTTATCATCATTTCGTATAATAAACACTTGCACAATCCATACTCACAACTTGCCATCTTATCATGTATAACATGCTTTCAAATATATTCACATTTCATTTACATAGTTGGATTATATAACTACTTCACATGCATGGCCATGTAACACAAATTTTTGCACTTAAATCACGTAAGCAATTAACAAATAGGCATGTTTTCAAAATTGTAAACACGTAAACAAATAAACAGGTAGGCATGATTTTCAAACATTTAAATACTTTAACACGTAGCACATAATCATACAATTCAACTTCCCCATGCAATCCCAAGTAGGCCTCTACCCGTCGTCCTAATGGTATTCGAACCATTGCTCTGATACCAAATTTGTAACAACCCAAAAAAAATACCAAAAATAATAATAATAAAATATATAAAATTTCGGCATGACCTCCGCAGAGAAAGTCTCTCTACAACCTGTTGAAAAATATATATAAAAAATACAATAGCCTCACTGAGCCTTAAAACTAATCTATCATGTCCCAATGCACAATACAAATATTACATCACATTTCCAAAATGATTACATTTACAAAATATTATAGTTCTAATACAAAAAAATAGCAAAATAAAATAGGTCTCTAATCTCGTCTAAACTTGTAGTGGATCGTCGTCCGCCACTTCCTTTCCATATCCTGAAAAATATTAATAATAAAGGGGTGAGCATAAGCTCAGTAGGAAGTGTCTAAGACACACTTCTTATTACCCTGTGAATCCACATATAGAATAGAAAACAAGAGAACGGGAACATACTATACCGGGAATGTATACCATAACCATAACATCCAATATAAACACATATGCCATTCAAGTCACAACACACCATGTATACTAATGAAGTGCAATGCCATGCTCATGTTGCTCTCCATTTCCGAAACACTTCCGTTTCAACATCCAAACCGTTAGTGTAATCCGACCCAAGGTACCTCCAAGGCGTTATGAGGGAGGGGTTGGCTAGTTTTTCCCTGACCACATGGCACCTCCATGGCGTCGTCTGGGTAGCTCAACCATACTAAAGTCTCTCTCTAATCCCCCTCTAGATCACACTAATACCACGGATCACTAGGCGCCTCCTAGGCGTCAGGGTTTTCGCAAACACTTTTAGAAAATATTTTTCCAAAATTTAATTTCCTTTATTTTGAAAACACTTTTCCCTTTTCCCTTCCCAATGAATGTAAGAATGCTCCATGTTTTAAATCATCAATTCAATAATAAAATTTTCACACATACTATCCAACATAATTTTTTCAAAACACATAACTCATACTTTCAATCAACATCAATTTAACATGGTAAACATTTAAAATATAAATTTAACTTCACATAAGTATATATATAATCACTACACAACAAGTAATAAGTAGTCATGTGTTCCATAACCGACATTTAAACAAGTTTTGCAAGAGATTATACAAAGTGAACATGCTTAACATCAAATTAAATAAGAAAACTCACAAAAGCACAAGAATTTTATGTATTAGAATATTCCTACCTCAAATTGTAGAAAAACCCTCAAAATGAGTCACAAAACTCGAAATCCTAAGATGCACCAAAGAAGAAATTGTTCATACTCACTTGAAGATCTCGTCGAGCTCTTCGTTTTTCCTCAAACGGCACTATCATATTCCCAATTGTGTGACTTTAATCTAAGCTTTTATGAGAGAAAACAAAAAAGAAAAAAATGGAGACCGAAGGGAAGAGAGAGATTCTGCGTAAGAGACATAGAAAGATGGAAGAACTACCCACTTTTTCTCTCCATCTTACCAAAGCCCACGTGAAGAAATCAAGGGCAAAAGAAATTTTGCCAAATAAAAAAAAATGGGGTAAATTTCTGTAAATCCCCAATACTTTCAAAAAATGATCATAAAACTCTAACCAGTTTTAAAAACCCCAACTCTGTTAATTGGGTCGTTAACTCAGCACGTGGTTAACAATTGCTTTGACAAATTGACTTTTGTGACGAAAATATACCTGTTGTCACATGTGCCAAACAAGTGATATGAATTTAAATATGTTATACCAAAAATACCCCCAAGCTTGTAATAGTAACCTTGTCCTCCTCTTCGTCTCTGACCAGACCCCAAGCTTGTAATAGTAAGCTTATATCTTGAATCCTTCCATTCAAGATATACTCGTGCGTTATATATATATATAATTAAGGATATGATGCATTAATGTTAGACCAGGAAGTGCAAATTGAATTGTCAATATCGCCTTCCAAAATAAAATTAATAAATGAAAAAACTTCACGTCACTCTTCAAATGGCGTTAATGAAACTATTCCATTATGAGTATTTGAAGTTTAGGCACTGACCAAACTCCACAGTCCACACACCTCTCCCCACTGTACTCTCTCTCCTCTCTTTCTCTCTCTAACTTGCCACCCTCACACTACACACCACCACCTGCACACACAAAAAAACACACACACAAACATAACTAAGATGACCTTTCACAGATTAAGCTAGACAACCAGAGACCAAACCCCTAAAGAAAAACACTTACTTCTTCCCAACTTCTACAACTCTCTCTCTCAACCCTTGAAGTTAAAAGCTCATTCCCCCTTTCAACACCTACTCTGTTACCTAAGTTTCTCTCTCTAAAACACACACAGTGAAAAGTGATTTGTCTGTGTCTGTAGATATATATATAGATATACACATGCATTCATGAGTTGGGTCTCTGGAGGCCTTCTCGGGGTGGTGAATGGGGTGTCTCGTTGGCGGCGAAATTCGCCTTCTTCCCGCCGTCGCCGCCGACGTACAAGGTGAAGAAGCGCGGCGATGGCAAGCTCGTGGCTGTCTCCGCGGCGCTGTCGGTGCCGCTGTCGAGCGCCGACGACAATTCCCTTGATGTCTTGTTGTTCAACATCAAGAGAGGCAACAAGATTGTTACGTTCTATCTGAGAAACCCATATGCTCGCCTCACTCTGCTCTACTCCCACAGCAATGCTGTTGATCTGGGTCAGCTCTACGACCTCTTCCTTCAGCTCAAGGCTAATCTCAGATTCGATCTTATTGGGTATGTCTTCTTTGTTCTGATCTTCTTAATTTTCACCAGTAATCCCTTTTTCTCTCACTTTCTATCTCTATATGTATATATATATTTGGGTTTCTCTCTCCTTCTGTAGCTATCTCTTTCTAATCTCAACTGGGTTTGTGATTTTATTTTGATTTTTGGCGTGGTCATGGTTCTAGATATAGTCAATCTCATTCGGTCGATGTTTTTGCTCTGATCTTCTCAATTTTCAATTCTAACCCCTTCTCTCCCTATATATGTTTTGGGTTTTCTCTCTCCCTGTGTAGCTATCTATCTAAAGAATAATATTGTAATTTCAAAAATATGATTTTTTTAGTTTTTTAAATAAAAAAAATGTAATAAGGATAATTTAATCATTTCACATTCCTTTAAGAGTTAATTGACAGAGTTGGAATAAAATAATAACGTTATTATATTGTTGGAGGTTTTAAAAACTGATTAGGATTTTATAATCACTTTTTGAAAGTATTGAGAATTTATAAAAATTTGCCCAAAAAAAAATCTTGTGTCCCTGCTTATAGCATCACCATTTTCATGGTTTTCTTTCTCTTTCTTATCTCTCCACTTCCGTTCCTTCTTATCACCATTGATGCCAATATATATATATATATATATATATATATATAAGTCTGCAATTAAATAATAAATCTCCCAAAAAAAAATGAAAAAAAAATGAAAAATAACGAAAATAAGAAACATTACATAAACAGTTAAAGATTGAAGAAGCTAAGAAGTTCATTCAGCTAGGGAAGTCAAGTAATTACACTCGATATAACCTGGGATTCTTTTCAGACAAGTAATGAAATTTTTACTATTTTTCTTTTATGTTAAATGGTTGTGCTAGTTATACAAACATATTTCCTGGGACAGTTGAACAAAAGCAGGAAGTATTTTTGCTGAATTTTGGAGATCTAGTAACTAGTTCATTTTTATTAAAAACTGGAATTGGCATTAAATAAATTGCGAAATGTTCTTTTATTTTTTGTTTTATTTAATGTAATCCCTTGTGATATACAAATTGAATTCCTTTTCTGACAGATCTTATGCTTCTCATGCTGTAGTCAAATTTGCTTTACTGTGATAAATTTATATTTGTTAGTCTTCACACTAAATTGATTCACTGATGCAATTTTAGGCATTTAAGTTGAAATGATTACTAGTTTTATGCTTGTTTATATTGTAGATTACTTTTGCTTGTTGTTCAGGTGTTAAACAGGTTGCATGGTAGCATTTATCTGGTTGTTAATAATTTAGGGTTTTCACATCTTTTGCATCTTAACATGCAACTTTAGTTTCTAGTTTATGAAGATAGAAAAGAGAAGAACTTGTACTTCATATAGTTTATCTGGTAATTTGCATTGTGTATGCTTTATAGGTTCAATAAATTGAGAAATGGATTTGATTTGGGTCGAGTTTGTCTAAGACAGGCAGTTTATATATATATACACACACACACACACACACACACACACACACACACACATACACACACACATACATTTTGCAGCGCTACATTTTATGCTTTCCAGTTTTCAGAAGCTTAGATAAAGTGTAACCTAGAAACTATTACAATTGTTTCACCCTAAATACATGTACTCTTCTGAAGAAGGAAATCAGATCAAGTGAGTAATATATATTTCTTATTGAAGTTGATATATTATGTCGTGATATTATCTTCAATTTATGTCTAGATGAACAAGAATTTTGTGCGCACATAGAACTAGAATTGCTCCTTTGGAGGTAGTAACACTGGTATCAATGAACTTGAAGCCAAGGACACTCATGTAGTTCATCAATTTAGTGAATCCGCCTCTTTTCTTTTGAAACACTATCTTCATCCAAATCTTTTTGCCATCAAAATGAGTCGCTGTAACTTCGGTCTGTAAATTTCAAACACAAGTTCATCATTAATTGTGTTATTTTAAAGATTTAAAGTACCTTAATTATGAATTTTGTATGCATCAAACATGTATACCTCTATCTCCATTTCTTCATCTCTTGTGCAGCATCAATTCCATCACTCTCTGTCTTTGACTCCTCTCCAGAAATTGCCTCCATTTCGTGGATTTGGTCACTAAGATCTCTTACACACTTCTGTAGCTCCTCCTGAATGCAAGTGATTGCATCGACAATAATCGTGGCCGTATTCATCTAAAGCTGAAAAAATACGAATAGAGAATAAGCATGTAAAAGGAATAGAAATGAAAATTATAGGTTTTGGGTGATTGCATTTGTAATGATTGGGAGTAATGAGCGCAGCTCTAAGAGTCTATCACTGAGTTTCTGGTGCCGCCTCCTCTCGGCTACTAGGTTCTTGGATTTGTATACTTCAGTTCCATCATTTTTGGACAGAGAGGGAGAGAATGTTCCTGAATTAGCCCACTTTGGCAACCGGTTCCTGGCAGCGAAATTTTGAGATATAAAGACCCATTTGATACTTTGTTGGGTATTGTTGCATGAACCCATTTTCACTTTTTATATGCTCTCACTCTCTCTCTAAACCCATATCTATATATTCACATATTTTGTTATAATCTTGTATCATTCACATAACACATTGCAAGTTGAACATCATTCATCTCCTGGAACTTGAAAGTTGAAGATTGAAACTTGAGATTGAAGCAAAGAAGTTAAAGTTAAGAGAAGTTTGGGTTTAAAACAATACTTATAGGATTTGGTAAAGATTTCTTCTTTGTTGAAGATTGAGAGTTGCTTGGAGTAAGATTGAATCCTCTTGTGCTTGATTATTGTCGTTTAATTGGGGCTTTGAAGATTCAAAACTTGTTTGTTCAAAAACAAGTTGTGAAGCGCATACCAAGTGTTCGACAAAATTACTGAGTGAGCTTTGGAGCGTCAAACTGAAATTCTTTGAACACAACATGCCTCCCAAATTGTCTCGCAAGGACAAAGGTAAAGGAATTGCATCTCCACCACCTCCCAAAATAGCCGGAACGAGTATAACCATCCGGGAACCACAAGTGGGTTCAACCGCTTCAAGGGATGCTTCTATGCATTCTAGCTCTACTACTACTGAGATACCACCTGGGTATCCCTCATTATCTGACACGGGGAAGGTTCAATTTACTACAGAATACTTCTACAACGAGCATGCTTGGGAAGTGTACAATAAAGTGTACAAGGATGGTCCGATAAAATCGGAAAGAAATGTAAACTTAAAAAAGCTTCGGGATAGTCCAGAAAAGAAATTGGTGGATTATATTGAGAAGAACAAGTGGTTGTTCTTTACTACGATGGATAGTTCGTATAGTCCAGATCTTGTTCACTACTTCTACTCAAATATCCGTAAGGTTCATAATTCGGGATATTTTGAGGTTTCCTTGTTTGGGAAGGATTATGTAGTTCATCCTGAAGTGATTGGCAAAGTTCTTGGCATTCCCAATAATGTTTCAAACACTGGCTATCATCTTCCACTTGTTCATTCCGGTTTGAAGTGGGATGATATTTGTAATGAGCTATGTATGCCGGATTCACCGAGATTTCCCGACTACATTCCCAATCGCTATCTCACAGATGAAACGGCTTTTCTGAATTTGTTTGCCATCTCCAATTTGGATTACTTTGGGAATAAAGATGTCATCTTTTCAGATCGTGCTGAGGTACTTTATCTCTTATCTATCGATGCAAAGATATATCTTGATTCTTCTATATATTGACTGATGGTTGTGCACTACAAGAACAACACAAAGAAGAAATCATCTCCATTCCCTATGATCATTATGGGGTTATATCAGCATTTTGAGATTCCTTTTCCACCCCGTGCTCACCAGAATAAAATTATGTCTGAGATGGATATAAGGGCATTTAATAAGGCCAAGACAGCACGCGCTTCATCAAGGTAAGCTAGTAGGGGTACAACAGCTTCTACATCATCCCTTCCTGAGGTTATTCAGCTTTTTCCTACCAAGCGAGTGTTTAATACTTTGGATGCCAATCTTCTCTACTCCTTGCTTCTACAGAATCAAAAGGCGTTAATGGATGCAGTCCTGGATCTTCAAGAAGAAGTTCGGTTACTTAAGGAACAGAGGACAGGCACTACTTCTGAGGATGTATACAGACCGGCCCCTCCAGATCTATCACTTGTGGCTAAGGATGATAGGGATAAGGAGGCTGAGATAGAGGAGGATGATGAGGATGATGAGGGTGGCAGTGGGAGTGACATTGATGGGGGTGATAAGGACATTCCGACATCTACAGTTCCATTTGCTGGAAATGATCTTGATGCTTGATTCTATGTTCATATCATTCATGCATCTCATTTTTTTTTTCGCTTAGCTTATACATTGTCATGACTCGATATTTTGGATATTTCTTTTGCTCTTTGACATGTATGAAACTCTTACTTGGTTTACTCGGTTTTAATATTATTTCTCTCTGGTTATTTTACTATTCTTTGATAATTTTGTTCCAAAAAGGGGGAGAACAAGGTTACATTAAGGGGGAGAGAATTTACAATTTTAAATTTTTTTTTGGATACTTTATTCAGGGGGAGTTTTTAATTGGTTTATTAAGCTTTCACTGGTAGTTTTGCTTAATCCATGTGCAGGAATTCAGGTGATATTCTGTCTAAAAGCAGAAGAGAACAAATCCGTCCTTCCTTAAACAATTGTACTTTATTTTTCTGCTTTGGGTAGATTATATATTGTTTATAGGGTTTTGACACGAAATTGCCAAAGGGGGAGTGTGATAACCCGATTTTTTTTTATAAATTTTAATTTATAATTTATAATTTTATTTGTTTGAGTTTGGTGTAGTAGTTGTGGTTATATTTATATAGTTTTTGGTGTACGTGTTGTTTGGTGAAAGGAGAAGAATGAAATGGAAATGGGTTTGAACTTATTTTCTTTCTTACATATATATATAACTTGATGGAAGTGGGAGTACCTGGTCGAAGAGAAGGAGATTGGAAATGTAATTGTGATGATGGTAGCGTGGGTCCCATGAGATGTTTATTTTTGTTTTTTTTTTTTAGCTTTGTTTTTGTTACTTATATATATATATATATATATATATATATATATATATATATATATATGTATATCTATATGTATTGTATCTGTTGAAGCCCAACCGTGGGAAAAAAGAAAAGAAAGTGGGGCGGGACCCACGGACAGACATTAGTGGCCAAAGTTCTTTTTTTTTTTTTTTGGGGCTGCATGTGGTGTTATTTTAGGTGAGATTGTACTTGTTAAGAGTGTGTCAGATGATGGAAGAAGATAAGAAAAAGAAGGTGTGGAGGGGATGTGATCAGAGTGGTGCAACGGAAGCTATGGCGGGCCCACTGAAGATATTTTTGAGCCAAATTTTCCTCATTCTTTGATTTCCTTCACATGGGTTTCTGATAGTGTATATGAAATGATAAGATTTTGGCAGACTTACTTTTTGACTTGGGCTTGATTTCTACACGTGGGTTTTTGGTTGTGTGGTGAGCTGTTTAGGTTGAGTCGGTGGTTTTGCCTATAAATTAGGCATGTGACTTGTTGCAGAAGATAGAAAAAAGAGCCGAGACAGAGAAAAGAGAAAAAATGAGAGAGTGGGAGAGAGAAACAGAGTGAGAAAATGGACTGCAAACAGAGAGGGCCGAGAGTTTGCAGAGGAGGTCTTGGAGATTGTTTGATGATCCAGTGGGCAACTGATCCTTTTTTCAGTGTAGGGTTCTCTATACCTTGAATGGCATGGAGAGGTTTTGCTTTAAATGATTTTATTAACTGTTTTCATGGAATGCATATGTATTTTGTTTATACTCCTGTATATATTTATTTTGTGAAGTTGTTTTGTTAAACCTCTATGAAATTCTTGTTATGGTTTTTCCTACTGGGACTTTTGTCTTACCACTCTCCAGTTTCAGGTACCGAAGATAGACGGGGATCGTAGATACGGGCTTAGGATGAAGAGTTGGCGTTGCAAGTTTTGTTTTTATTATTTGGAGATTTTTTTTGTATCTTGGAGGAATCTGACTTTGTATAAAAGAGGGCATTTTTTTATAATCCTGGGTGTATTTCGATGTATTTGATTTGTATAAAATCGAGGATTTTGTTAAAATTACCGAGGCGTGACAAAATGGTATCAGAGCTGTACCCAGCCGGAAGTGTGAGTGTGGTGATAATGTAGACGGGTGTGAGTGGGTGAGTGTGTAGCACTGGTGAGCTACCACTCGTAGCCAGGTGTGTGTGGACAGATGGCGTTCACTGGCAGCTACTGGGATGGTTAGTTGGTGTGGTTGGGCAGGTAGCCTAGATTTGTTGTTTTTTTTAGTGGGTGGGCGGGTGACGCATCGACTAGTTACCACAACGGTTACGGAGTGCGTGGGCGGGTGACTAGCATTGGCAGCTACCACAACGTTTTACATATCACTGTATCTCACAT